CAGAGGGCCTTGTGCTCAGGAGCGTTGTCTGCACCCCCAGCAGCACACATGGGGGCTCCCAGACTCTCCTGCCTTTATCGCAACAGGTTCTGGGGCTGCCCAGACATTTTTCACAGATCTGTAAAACTCCCTCTCACAGGAGGTCGGCTGTGGCAGTGACCTCCCAGAGAGGCTCGGGGAACCAGGTGGGAGCCCAGAGGGCATGAGTGAGGTTTCTTTTATTACCATTATATATTAATTATCCTGTTATATAATCAGAGTGACAGCTGTCATTTATTAATGGCCAGCCATGGGCCAGGTACTGTATTTGGTGCTTTCCATCTAGGATTCATCAAATGCTTACAGCCACACATGGCAATGATAGGCTAATGTCATCTCAAAGAACACAAAGGGAGGGAGGCTCAGGGATACCAGGAGCCTTGCCTGAGGTCACACGGTCAGGAACTGGCTGAAGTGGGACTTAGGCCCAAGGCTGTCTGATTCCCACGCTAAGTTCTACTCACCATACCAGGCAGGCCTGTCTCAAGGGCCAGAGGGAGTGCATGTGTGTCAGTGTGAGGGTGGATAGGAGGATCTGGAAGCAGAGCTGGGAGTAATTTCTCCTTGAGTGACAATGCCAAATACCCATGAGGTGAGTGCACAACACCTTCTCCCATTCTAGCTGCACTCCCTCCCTGCACCCAGTCTTCCTAATCCCAAGCCTGAGCCCTGTCCTGCTACCTGGGTGGACAACCTCTCCCTCAGCCTCCTGACCGCCTCTGGACCAGGCCAGCCCAAACCCTGCCCCAGGAAATGGAGGCGACTGTTGGCATTGAGGCCACCATCAGATCATCCTACTTTCGCCCATATCAGCTGGACCCTCCAGGACAGACTGGGCAGTTCCCCGTTGGGGGAAGGCTGGAGATCCATCTTGGAATCACAGATGGTGTGTGGGCACCATTGCAAGTGGGGTGCCTTGGCTCCACTCTTTGGGTAATTATTAGTAGTAGTAATGTTTAGCCTCTGTAGTCCCAATAATCATCCCATACACACAGTGTCCTTACTGATGTGACTTCTCAAAGCACCAGGTACTTTCCTTCACACCGTTTACCAATTTGTTATTAGACACTCACACACATATTTTCTTGGTTCATTCTGCCCTCCCCCAGGCTGCAAGCTCAAAAAGGACAGTTGGCTTTCAGCTGTATCCTTGGTGCCTGGCACAGCGTTGACATATAGTACAGGTCCCTGATAAATTGTGTTGAACACACTTGTGGATGAATGAGTGTAATGGAGTCAGCAGGAAGCTACGAAGAGGTAGACAGGACTACGGGAGAAGGCTGGGAAGCGGGAGGAGTATGAGGAGGAAGCTTCAGGAGTCTGTGGATGGAGCTGGGCTGGGAGGGCATATCCAATAGGGACAGGGAGGAGGGACACTGCATTCTTGGTGGCCCCTGGGAAGCCAGGTATGGTTCTGGGATGAAGGAGCTAAGCTGTAAGGCCCCTTCACCTGCCTGGAGCTGAACTGTGGCCTCCTGTAGGTTGGGAATCAGAGGACGCCTGTGGATGAAGCCCTCTCTTGTATCTCCAGACTTTTGCAACCCAGAAGAGCCACCCCAGGAGACTTTTGCAACGCAGAAGAGCACTTTCTCCCCTCCCACTGATACTCTCAAGAGGGGATTCGGGAAGGACCTCAGTATTTAGGCCCTTTCAGCGAGGCCGTGGAGAAGGGTCCTGATTACTCAAGTTGCAGAATGGGATGCTCCTCAGCCTGCATCCCCTTTCTCTCCTGTCTCTAGAGCTGTTCAGTGCATGACCCTCTCTCAACCAATCTCTACTCCTTAGCCCAGTGTTCTTGGGATGGCGGAAAGGGAAGTTGTTTTGGAGTCAGAAAGATCCGGGTTCAAAACCAGCTCTACCACTTTCTACCTGGGAGACCCTGGGTACACTTAGCTTCTCCAAGCCTCAGTTTCCACGTCTCTAGAATGGAGGGGATAGTGCCCACCTTGCAGTGTGGCAGTCATCCCAGTGCCTGGCACCACACAGGCACTCACTGATCGCCTGGCCTCTCATTCCTGCTCTCACCAACTGGCTCTGTGACTTTGGGCAGGACTCATTACCTCTCCTGGTCTCAGCTTCCTCATCTCAAAGACAGGGTTGCATCGGGCAGTCTTGAAGGCCCCTTCCAGCTCTGACTTGCTCCGTTCTATTCTGAGCAGGGAGCCCCACCTCTGGGGAGGGGGAACACGAACATTCTTTCAGCACAGATTCAACCCAGGCACATGCTTGCCCAGCCCCATCCTTCACATTTAGCCTGTAGCTGTTGCCACATGGGCCGCGCCCTTGGCACTGTGCTGCTCCCCCCACCCCTGCCTCACTCGCCAGGGCCACAGGTGGGTGGCTTGTTCTTGTGGGACTGAAGAAGCCTGGGAGGACAGAGGAAGAGGGTGGGAGAGAAGAGGGAAGAGTGGAGGGGCTGCAGGGATAGCCGGGTGGGAAGGGCGGGGCTTTGAGCCCCGTGGAATTCTAGCTCTGCCACTTTCTAGCGGTGTGTGTCCTTGGGCAAGAGGCTTTAACCTCTTAGAAACCTGTTTCCTCGTTTATGAGCTAATAATAACAATTTTTTAAAAACCCATTAGATCGCAGTGAGAATTAAATGAAAGAATATCTGTCAAGTGCCTGGCACTGCAGCGGTTCTGTTCTGGGGTCGGGGGAGGCAGGCACGTACACCCTTCCCTCGCCCCGGGTAGCAGGAAGTTCCACGAAGGCCCGTCGGGGCGCCTTGGCCACCTTCCCGCAGGCAGACCCGAGCCGGAGAGGCCCAAGGTCCTCCCCGCAGCCGGAGCCATCTCCCGAGGGCTGGCGGTCTGGGGTCCTTGGCCCAGGAGCCCCAGCCCGCAGAGCAAGGGGAAGGCTGCGGCCGAGCCAGCCCCCGACCCACCCGCCCCGCCTCGGCCTCGTACAAGCGCCTTTGATCTGCAACCTTCAGGGGGATTAAGAGCCTGAGAGTCCCGCTCCCCGGGGTCCCCCGCTCCCCAACGCCCTCCCTCCGGGCTGACCTCCCAGTCTGCGGCCCGGGCTGGGGGCCGGCTCCGCCGCCGGTGGTCCCCGCCGCTCCTGGCGGCCGCGCCTCCGGGCAGGCCACTTGGATTACAGGGGCAGCAGCCGCGGTTGGCGGCTTCGGGGAGCCCTGGGGCTGGGGCCCGCGGGCGGGGCGGGAGGGGAGGTTGGGGGCGGCGGCCCCGTCTCGGCCATTTTTGGCCGGGGAATCTGTGTAAAGTGTTTAAAAAGAAAAACTCTCCGGAGGAGGACGTAACCTTTTCTTAACATCTGGGGCTCAATTAGCTAATGACAGCAAAGCCTTCTCCGGTGTCGCTGACCCCTGGGCGGCAGCCCAACTCCCCCACCCCCGGTATTTATACAGCTGCGGCCCCTTGCTGGGACTGGGGGCAGGGGGCTTGACTGGGTTATCTCGGCGGAGATCCGCCACCCACCCCAAAAAGGAGAAAGAAAAGGCTTAGCACAGGGTCCCACCCACCGCCCCTTGGTCCTCCTCGTCGCCCCTCACTCTTTCCCTCTCTCTAGCTCTTGGCGCTGCCTCTGCCTTCCTGCCCCTGGGCTTCCCTCCTCTGCCTCTCCTACATTTTCTACTTTCTCCTTTCTCCTCTCCTCTTCTCTTTTTTACCTCTCCCTCTCCCCTTTCTCCCGTTTCTTCTTCATCTCTGCTTTGTCTCTCCTTCCTGCCCAGCTTTCTCACTCCTCCCTCCCTCTCCCCCTTCTCTCCTCCCTTTCTTGCCCACCACCCCCTTGCCTGTCTGTCTCTCTTTTCGCCCCTCTTTCTCTGTCTTTTCTCTCTCCCTAGCGGCCTCCCCTTTCTTTCTCACTCTCTGAATAGCACTCTTGTTCCCTCTCTGTGTTCCTGTCTCTCCCTCTCATTCTAGCGCTTCCTCCCCACCTTTGTCTTTCCCTGTCTCAACCTCTGAATGCCTGTCTGTCCTCCCAGAGGTGTGTCCTACCCAGGCTGCCAGGCAGATGCCCCCAGGGGAGCAGACCTATTGCTGGGCCACCTCCAGACCAAGCATCCTTTCCCGCTGCGTTGGGCAGGCCTGTGGCTGGGCACTTGAGGGCTGACTCTGGATCCTGGGTGTGGGAGGTGTGTGGGAGAGCCGTGTTTAAGGCTCTCCATGGCTAGAGCCAGAGGGGATCCCCAGCGGCTTCCCCAGACACCCTGCCACTCCAGCTGGTGGAATCTCGCCTTCCCTGGAGGCTCCTTCCCTACCACTCCACCCATCCCCAATTCCCCCAACACCCTGCCTGGTATTTTGAAACCCGGCACAAGTGCAGATACACACTTTCCTCTTTATCCTCCCTGAGCGCAGTTAAAACAGGCTGGAGTCCCTTAAAAAAAATTCACCAATACTAAGAAAAAAACTGATCAGCTCAGAAACTATAAATAGCACAAAATAGTCATGTCCAAGGGCAGCGCAGAGCAGCAAAGAGCACACAGTTAGGAGTGAAAGGAGCTGGACTCAACTACTAACTCCATTATTTAAACAGTTCTGCCTTCTCCAGGGAGTCATTTGAGCCTCAGTTCCATCATCTATAAAATGGGCATAATAATAGTTATTAAACAATATTGAAACATTGTGTTCTTTCAATCAGGCATTTGCTTTTTGTTTTCCTGGAGAAAATCTTGGACTCTGATTTTTCCAGGATAGAACTATGTTCCAAAATTCTACCTCCTTCTCCTCCAAATACACTTGAAGCTCTGGCACCCATTGCTGACCCCTCTTATCTAAGGGTGAAGGCTTTTCGCAGGAAAACGCAAACATAGGCAACATTTACAAACAATGGGTTGAGGGGGTAGGGAGTCTCAGAGCTCCTGAAACCTTTGGTTGATGCTGGGTGGGACCCTGGGCTCACTGCGGCGGATGCTTTGTGAATCCTCACAACAACCAAATGAAAAGGGTCTTGACGTCCCGTTTTACACTTGGGGAAAAGCGGAAGCAATTGTCCAAGGACCACAAAGCGGTCTAGGAACCCAGGGTGTCGCCTCTAGAGCTTTGGGGAAGTGGGGTTTCTCCCAGGAGGCAAGGGGTAGAAGCGAGGTAGGTGGCTTGGAAAAGTTCGGTAGTCGGACCTGGGCCGCAGAGGGCAAAGCGGCCACTCTTTCTGAGAGGCAGAGGTAGGTGGGCTCACCCTCCCACTCCGAGCCGGCCTGACCCTGGATGCAGGCGGAAGGGGGGCAGCGGGGAGCGGAGGACTGTGCGGAGGCCTCGCTGCAGCTGCTGCACCCCCACCCCGCGTCGCCTCCCAGCCCTGGCTCCCAGTGCTCCGGGTTTGCTGATGGTCCCGGATGGACAGCCCGGAGAAGGCTTCCTGTGCAGGAAGACATTCTCATCAGATCTCGTGTCCCGAAGCCCAGCGCTGCTGCCGGGGGTCTGACCCGGCCGCTCCGAGCACCCCTCCCCCGAGCCCTGGCTGGGCGAGAAACCGAGATGGTGGCTGCAGAAACTGGAGCCCCGGCGCCGGGGCGACCGCGAGGGGCTGAGGCCTTTGAGAGCGCTGCCGCCCCTTGCCAAGGTCAATCAAACCCTCCCACGCTCCGGAGGCTCGCGCTGCGTGCTCGGGGCAGCGGGGATTGGGGCCGGAGGGGGCGTCCCCGGCGGGGCCGGGAGAGGGTGGGCTGGGGGCTGGCCTTGGGGGCGCCTCCCGCCCCCTCTCGGGGAAGGTGCTCGGAGACTCCTGGGCCCTGGGCGGAGAGTGTGGGGAGACTGGGGCTAAAGGCAGAGACCCTGGCCGAGGGCTCTGACCCACCCAAGAGGAAATAGCTACTAATTAGGGACGGGACGTTTTTATGCTAATATGCACCTGGCTGGGCTTTTCTGGGGGCTGAGAAAGAGTGTAGAGTGGAAGGGAAGAAGTTCCGGAGAGCGGGAAACTTCCGGAGGCACTTGATTCCAGGATAAAAGACAACCCCTGCTCCTGCTCTCCTGCTCACCCGCTGTGTGGCCTTGGGGAAGTTACTTAGGGACGTGGAGGAGCTTCAGTTTCCTCCTCTGAAAAAGAGACAACACGGTCAAGTTTCTTCCCAAGCTCAGTCACTGTCAGTAAAAAGATGGAAAGCCAGCCCTCGGGTGGCTCTTGGAGAGGGGACAGAATTGCGGAGGTGTGCGTCGCGGGACAGAGTCCTAGTAGAGCCGGGTGCGCACTGCCAAGGGCCTGCGACTGTCTCCATTGTTGTCCAGAAGTGGGGGGTGGGCAGTAGAGGGAGGTCGAACAGAGGTCCTCCGATTGTTGGAGGGAGCGGTCAGGAGGTGCTCCGCTGTAAAAGAAAATGGGAGGTGGATGGGAAGTACTGTAGAGGAGTGGGTATTCTATGGTGGGACCGACTTGAGCTTAATCAAATAGTTGGGGTGGAGGGGCGGGATAGGTTGAAGATGCCAAGGAGAGAAAAGGGAGATGACTGATGGAGTCAAGTCCTGAAGAAGGCCTAGTGGGTGGGAACCAGGCAGGGTGCAGGTTGGAAGAAGTAGAAGGAGACAGGTTGGAAGTGGGGAGGAGGAAGGGGAGAGGAGGAAGTGGTGGAAGAGGAAAAGAGGAAGGAAAGGTGAAATTCAGGATATTTTGAAGGGAGGGAACGCTCTCCATTGGCCTTACTCAACTCAGCTCAGTATTGCAGGACGCCTCAGTGTTGTTTCACAGACTAAGGAATCAAGAGCGGATTTGGGCTGGCCACGGTAGCTCATGTCTGTAATTCCAGCACTTTGGGAGGCCGCGGTGGGTGGATCACCTGAGGTCAGGAGATCCAGACCAGCCTGGCCAACGCGGAGAAACCCCATTTCTACTGAAAATACAAAAATTAGCCAGGCATGGTGGCACATGCCTATAGTGCCAGCTACTTGGCAGGCTGAGACAGGAGAATCGCTTGAACCCAGGAAGCAGAGGTTGCAGTAAGCCGAGACCGTGCCACTGCACTCCAGCCTGGGTGACAGATTGAGACTCCATCTCAAAAAAAAAAAAAAAAAAAAAAGAGTGGGTCTGGAATAATCCACCATGGAGACCCAAGCAGGAGTAGGGAAGGTTGGACAGCAAGGGCTGATGAGCAGGGCTGCCACTGAGGGTGGGTTACAGGAATTTGAAAGCAAAGTAATAGAAACCTTTGAGCTCACGGGAAACAGAAAGCGTTTACTGAGATTGGCTTGGGATTCATGGTCTCATTGACTTCTCACCACCCAGTGTGGTCCGTGTTATTTCTATTTTACAGATAGAGAAACTGAGGGTCAGAGCAGTAAAGGACCTTGCCCAAGATCATTCAGCCGGTGATAATGAGATGAAGGAATGGTTTGAACCATTCCTTCATCTGCTCCCAAAATGAGACTGCTTCCTTTGGGGTCCATTGGGCAGGAGTCCTGACCGTGGAGCCTTAGCAGTCCTTCCCTCCCTGGGCGTGGCCATCCTGGGAGCACCGACCCATTTGGCTGGGAGGAAGGGGCTGGGCATTTTTGACTGAGTACAGGCTGCCCTGAGCCAGCCTGAACTTAGCAGGAAGCCCCAATCCCAGCTGAGAGGAGAGGGGAAAGGGTAGGCTGCGCCTCTGCCAAATGAGATCAAACCATATATTTTATTCTGCAACATGCTATTTTAATCTTAATATTTCCATGCATATATATATATATATATAGGCCTATTTTTTTAAGTTGTGTAGTGCTCCTTTGCATAAATATTTCATTTCTTATTTATCTATTCCTCTACTGCTGAACATTTATGTTGTCTCCAGTCTTGGAATTACAGGTAATGCTCACTGAACATCCTTGTGAGAATGTCTGTGTAATGACACAAGTACTTCTACAGGATAGATTCTTAAAAAATGACATCAGTGGGTTAATGGTATGCTTTTAAAAAATTCTTATAGATAGTACTAGACTTCTCTCCAAAGATGCTTTATCAATTTACACTGCCTCCATTAAACTATGAGTTTGCCTACCCACTGACACCCTTGCCACTGGGTATTCGCGCTCTCTCTCTCTCTTTCTCTCACTCTTTCCATATAGATAAGTTTGGGTGGGGGGCAATCTACTGAGTGAAAAAGAGTTTTCCACTTATGTTTTCATTTGTATTACCCTGAGTCTCTACAGGTCTGCCAAAGGTCCATTAGCTGAAGAAAGCACTGTGAAGGGAAGAAGAGCTCAAGATGAGTAGCAGAGATTTAGGGCAGCTCTGAGGAAGAACTTACTCCCTAGATAACAGAGGCACCTGAATTCCTTTCTCTGTGCACATTCTTTTGCTGCAAGGAAGATCGCATGACCCCAGTAGCTCTGGGTGAGGGCTGGCTACCTAGGGTCTCATGGCAGTTAGCCAGACACTGAGAGATGCCCGCTCCCCACGGGCTGCAGGGACAAGCTAACAGGCTGCATGGGACAGAAGATGGCAGTTTTCAGGGAGGGCAGAGGAAGGGGTTCAGCTTCCTGAAAGAGCCAGGGAAGATGAGGGTCACCATGGCGGGGGAGGCTAGCCCTGGGTGCTAAATGAAAACAGGAAGGTCAGTAGTTTGAGGAGGTGGCAGATGGGAGGGAATGGGATGCCAATCTAAGCTTAGCAAAGGTGGGACTGGGCAGTGGTGGCTGCACTCCCCCCATCCCATAGGCACATCCACCCCAGCCTATTGATGATAATAACATGGCTGATATTTTTGAGCCTTTACTGTATTAGACACTACTTTCTTTTTTTTTCTTTTTTTTTTTTTTTTGAGACAGAGTCTTACTCTGTCACCCAGGTTGGAGTGCAGTGGCATGATCTCCACTCACTGCAACCTCTGCCTGCTGGGTTCAAGCAATTCTCTTGCCTCAGCCTCCCGAGTAGCTGGGACTACAGGCGCCCACCACCTCGCCCAGCTACTTTTTGTATTTTAGTAGAGACGGGATTTCACCGTGTTGCCCAGGCTGGTGGTGAACTCCTGAGCTCAGGCAATTCACCCGCCTTGGCCTCCCAAAATGCTGGAATTACAAGTGTGAGCCACTGCGCCCAGCCTAGATACTGCTTTAAGTGTTTCAATGTTTTGACTGATTTTATCCTTTTAACAATTCTGTGAGGTAGCTGTAATTATGATCCCCATTTCATAGATGAAGACATGGAGGCATAGGCCTAAGTTGCCTACCCAAGGTCACACAGCTAGAAAGTGGCCAAGCTGGGATTCAGACCCAGGCCAGGGGGCTTGGGAGGCTACACTTCCAACCACCTCACATGTGGCTTTTCATAGCCTTTCTTAGCCAATAGAATGACCGCTGCTATTAATTAAGAGTGGGCCAAGAACACTTAATTCTTTGTCTCTAATGCTTACAACAAGCCTTGAAATAGAAGGTGCTACCCTAAATTTATAGATAAGAAAAGTGAGATTCAGAGAGGCTGAGCACCTTGGTTGAGATCACCCACATAAAAAGAAGTTGAGCCAGACTTTGCACTCAGATCTGTATGAATCAAAAGCCCCTGCCCCTTCCATATCACTACAGGATATTTTGCAACATGAGAAGAGAAATCACACAACCACAGAATAGTCATCCCCCTAAAAATGCCTCTTTCCTGTAGAGATGAGTGTATGTGAGTGCAGCCTGGAGGCAGCATCTATGCACTCTATGGTGGGGGAAGGGGGGCCAAGGGGGCCAAGGGCTAAGAAAGGCTATGAAAAGCACTATGCAGTGCTGCGGAGAGACTATCTCCCCTCTATCAGCAGGGCTGCTTGGGAAGCAGAGTGGCAGTTTGGGAGGGGAGTCTGGGGAAGCCATCCCTTTTGTTACTGGAACCTAGAACCTCTCTCCACCCCCATCCACTCCATATCCACCTCCAGCTTAAGAAAAGCATGAGTTGGCCGGGCGTGGTGGCTCATGCCTGTAATCCCAGCACTTTGGGAGGCCGAGATGGGTGGATCATGAGGTCAGGAGATTGAGACCATCCTGGTTAACATGGTGAAACCCTGTCTCTACTAAAAATACAAAAAATTAGCCAGGTGTGGTGGCGAGCACCTGTAGTCCCAGCTACTTGGGAGGTTGAGGCAGGAGAATGGCGTGAACCCGGGAGGCGGAGCTTGCAGCAAAACGAGGTCGCGCCACTGCACTCCAGCCTGGGCAACAGAGCGAGACTCCGTCTCAAAAAAAAAGAAAAAAGAAAAGCAGAGTTGGTATTATGGACAGAGCTGCTTTTGAAGAGCCCCAAGTCACTGGCTGACCCGAGAAGGACTGCCATTTCACCTTATATGAGCGGCCTGTTAAATTAAGCATTGTCTTATTTTTTTTTGTCACCCAGGCTGAAGTGCAGTGGCGCGATGTCGACTCATTGCAACCTCCGCCTCCCGCGTTCAAGCGATCTTCCTGCCTCAGCCTCCTGAGTAGCTGGGGCTACAGGCACATGCCACTACGCCTGGCTACTTTTTTTGTGTTTTTAGTACAGACACGGTTTCACCATGTTGGCCAGGATGGTCTCGATCTCCCGACCTCATGATCCACCCATCTTGGCCTCCCAAAGTGCTGGGATTACAGGAGATGATTTCAATCTCCTGCCCTCGTGATCCACCTGCCTCAGCCTCCCAA